GCCCTTTTGGGACATTAGCACACACTGCACCTTTTTTTAAAATTGGATGTCATTGAGTCTTTGGGCTCAAGCTTTGCCGGTTTTAATAGAATTTGCTCCCGCTTTGTTTGGTATTGGTGCCGCTGGTACTGCTATTGGCACGGGTTTAGAGGTAGTAAACGCAGTTAATAGTTTATTATTTGGTGGTGATATATCTAAGCAGTCTACTGTTGATACTATCATTGATTACGGAGTTGATACTGCTAATCAGGCTTTAGGAAGGTTAAGAGATGAAGCGATACGGAGGACGGGTGAGATCTTTCGGGAAGCGTACCGGTCGAGGTTACGGCCGCGTCCGCAGAGGTGGGATAAGCCGAGGCCGCCGAGGAAAGGCAGGACTAGGCAGCAGAAGGTCCTACCGTGGATACCGAAGGAGAAGTACTATAGGTCGCGTGGGCAACCGTTCTAGGGCTTTTCCGCGTGTTGTTTCCTACCGGGTTTCGAATATTTTGCAGAATATTCCTCCTGGTGGTTGGAAATTGTGTATGGTTGATTCTGTTCGACCGATTCAGTTGGCAAGTTTGTGGAAGGCGTATAAGGTTGTTGGTGCTATGGTTGCTGTTAAGCGTCATCAGCCTTCGCCGATAGTGTTTGATGGTACGCAGGCTCAAGTTGCTCATCAGGAGTTGTGGTGGGCGCCTTGGTCGGGTGTTGATGAGCCAATGACTCATCCCAGGCAGATGGCGTCTGGTATTCTTGTTGGTGATAATTGGACTTCAAAGTATATTCGTAATTGTGTGCCTGTGAGTCAGCGTTTCCATTATGATAATCGTGATCCTAAGGGTGGTATTGAGCAAGTTATTGAGTTCTTTAAGCCTGGGTCTCCTCCTTGGTTACCTATAGATGGATTTGAACGTGATGATACTGGTAAGGAATCAGGTAAGTTTGCTGCTCAGCAGTCTATTGGTTTCTTCTATGTTGATGGGCCTAGTAATTCCAGGGTGACTGTTGATGTAGAGTTGAAGTTGACTATTGCTATGAAGGGTCGTAAGTGTCTGGGTGGTAAGCTAGATG